CTGATGTTGGTTTATAAAGTTGGTATATTACATTTCTGATCTCTGCTTTATTTATGAACCATCCAGACCTCTCAGGTCGTCTCGGGCAGGTCTGCTTTCTTTTCCCCAGAGTCAAAACTAAACGAGGAGAAGCAGCGTTCAGTTATTATGCTCCATATATCTGGAACAAAATTGCAGGTCTGCTGAAACTCTCAGTTCTTTTAACTTTTCTTTTTCCACTGCCTTTAATTATTAGATTGATAACTTACACTGCACTGTAACTTTTACTGTCCTGTTTTCTTTTTCTTTGTTTTTTGGTATTAATACTATTTAAAAAGCTTAGAGTGCTCTTTTGATTCTACCATCGCACAAGGCTGATCCTCAGTTAACAGGGCCGAGTAGAATTAAAAAGATTAGAGTCCCTGTTTTTTCCACTGTTAACTTGTTGACAGGGGCCGCTGTCAACCGCTTTTACCAGAGTTTGTAGAGTGGACAATCTGGATTTACAGTGACGACTGTATCTAAGGAAGGGTCAGTCTCCTTAGAGTTAGAGTCAGCGGCTTTGGTGCGCCTGTCAGGTTGGACAAGGATATAAACGCTAAGGGAAATCCCAAGGAGGGGGAGTATGTGTATACATAAATCAGTGGTGTTGCCTTAATGTCTCCATTATGCTCAGCTGACATTGAACTGTCATCGGTCTCGGTCCGTCCTTTTTACCTCCCCAGGGAGTTTCCCCAGCTATTTGTGACAGTGGTGTATATACACCCAAAAGCAAACGCCCAAATCGCTGCTGACACTATCTACAGAGTGACTCAAAGACTTCAGTCCCTTCCCCGATTCCCCGTGTTTTTAATGGGAGATTTTAACAACTGTAAACTTACAAAATCACTGAATCTTTCCCAGTATGTTAACTGCCTGACAAGAAAAAATAAGACTCTAGACTTGTGGTTAGACTTGTTATGGTTCTATAAAAGAAGCATACAAGGCTTCTTCTTATAAACTAAACTCCAAATAAACTTGCCTTGCAAATAATTAGTGGGAGTAACACAAGAGCTGCTTATTATTGGAGGAAGTAGCCTAAGCCTTTATATAGAGGGAGACCTGTGCCTCATGTGTAAAGCCAACATACCTGTTTTATCCACCTATAGTTTCTCTGTCCCTCCTAAAATCAGAAGCACATACAAACTACGTTGTAAAAATTTATATTTGAATGTAGAACACAGTATTTAATAGAAATGATAAATGCCGTGTGTGAACACCTGCAGACAACATACTGTCTTATACTTATTTCTTATCCTCTGGATGATGATGCTGTAAAACGCTCAATCAATAAACCTCATCTGTGTGCAGATGGCTTACCTGATCTGGCTGGCAGTGGTGCTGGCTGTCTCCCTGTTGCTGTTGCTGTTGCTGTGTGCATTTCTGAACCAAAACAGGTGTGCTGTGAACCATGACTGGCTTCCTGTGGACCAAAACCCGCCCCCTGTGGATCAAAACTGGCCCCCTGTGAACCAAAACTGGCTGCCTGTGGACCAAAATCCGCCCCCTGTGGATCAAAACAGACATTCTGTGGACATAAACCGGCTTACAACAATTTTAAATGGCATCTTGAGAGAGTGAGACTTTAATTCTGCCTACCTACAGATATTCAATTGACTGTATATAAATTCTATTATACAAAGGAAACAGACAAGTAATCCTCACAGCTGAGAAGCATTTTTACTTGGAAAATGACTGAAAGAATTTATCTATTATCAAAAAGGTTGCTGATTAACATTGTCAGCCTAATTGATTAATTGACTAATCATTGCAGCTCTGACCAACTGGTTTCCAAATGCCTTTAAAATTCTGTGCTGGTACTGCAGTTTCTGCTGCTTTTAGCATTTTATTACATTGCATTTATCTGATGCTTTTATCCAAAGTGGCTTACAATTGCTAATTATATCAGAGGTCGCACGCCTCTGGAGCAACAAGGGGTTAAGTGCCTTGCTCAGGGACACACTGGTAGATGTTTCACATTGAGGAATTGAACCCGGGTCTCTCACAACAAAGGCATGCATTTTATCCACTGCACCACCACCCACTGTAGCAGTACAATAAGATGATAAAATAATATTTTTATTAAATGTGATCAAAATATCAGATGATTTGATGTACATGATATTTACTTTGTCTGTTTCCTAGGTACAGAACAGATGGCATGTTCTGTCTGACTGTAAGGATCCCAGACAACCAGAACCAGGACCTGGACCAAATTCTTCAGCAAGTCTTTGACAGTGATCCTGGTGACATTGTGATTAATACGATCAACAATAACCAGGTGTACATTGGCAACAGGGTGGTTGCAGCCAAAGTTCTGCCACGGGCCAATGGAGGAGCTGATCACGCAGAGTCACGTGTTGTGGACTACCTGGACCACTTGTTCAGGCCTAATGACAATGATAATGACTTGTTGCTTTTCTATGTTTATGCTTCCCCATGTGATAAAAAATGTTTAAATGACACACATCCTGAGAACATTCTCCAGAGGATACAAGTCATGTGTCAACTTAAGAATCGTGCGTTTGTGTTTCAAAAACCATTCAGACCGAGCAATGGTCAATTGATCAGTACTGACCAAGAACGGATTGACGCCCTGAGATAACATATTCCGATATGATTGGATGCAGTGCAACAGATGCTTCATTGGTGGACAGGTTGCACCTCATTGTTTTAAGTGATAGTTAACAGTCTGCAACCGGACCTCCAGGGCAACGGAAATTCCTAATGCTTAAAATGCTCTAAATCATTTGTTTTCATTTAATAACTTCCATCTCAGTGTCTGGTCACACCAGAAAGTGGCACCACTGAATCCATCAATCCATATCCAAAATAGGATAGTGCATTAAGGTTAATAAGATATCTTCCTCCTTTTAGGCCCCTGTGGTTCTCCATTTACTTTTTTCTGATTTGTAAATTACCCTCAGTATTTACAGATCATGTCACTGTACTCTATACGTCTGTTAAGCATTACCAAGTCCTCTGTGTGGTGGCAGAAAATGTATCTTATCTTATATTCATGCTAACAATTATATATCTACCAGTGTGTGCTTATTGTATCCTTCTCTGGCATTATACGGTCCACTAGGACATGCCAAAGTTTGTGTGTGTAAGAACATCTGGGAAATTGTTGTGTGTTTTGCCTCTCCCCATGGGAAGTTGAGCTTTCAAGGGCAATGTGTGAGGAAGCAGTCTCCCTGCTCTAAATGTTATGTTTATCCTCTGCTCGGGGCCAGATGTCTGATACTGCCCTAGGTAGTAGGCATCTGAACCAACAGAATCCTTTTTTTGCACTTCCTTGTTTCTTCCTTCCTTAAATGCCAAAAGACAACAGTTTGTTGTAATAAATATACTATTTTCATGATGTAATTTTCTTATCTTTCTGATTAAAGCTTGGCTCAGCATCTATCTGGTCTGTTTGTGAATCATTAAGTTAGGTTAGGTTACGCTATTTGTACCCGTAGGTAGATTTGTTTTCCAGTAAGAATATCACATCCATTCTGACACACATTATTACACAAAACTATTAAAAATATACTACAAACCTAATAAGCAATCAAGGACATGAAAAGCATGCTAGAAACTGATACAGGTACTCAAGGTTCCACCGCTCATGATATAAAAGCGATATAGAGAGAAAATTATAATTAAAGTTTGGAAACCGTTCACAACTATAACACATAGTATTGCGATAGGCAGTAAAACAGTAAAATTGTTTTGTATTTTATTATTTACTTGTAATATATATTATATATTATAAATATATATTATATATTATTGTTACTTGTAATAAACGTAATAAGCTAGCAGTAGAGTCCTTAGTTACATGATGGAAGCTGTATAACTTGTAAAACGTTAGTCATGGCTGCTATCACGTTAATTAATTCCCCGTAGTGCTATTTTGAGTAACGCTGCTGCTGTCGGCAGGGCTGTGTGGGATTATTGTCTGGAATAGGACACTTGAGAGAGAAAGGTACTTTTTATATTGGTCGCAAGATTCTTGTTGAGGATCTGATGTCTCCACGTCTGCTATTCAAAGCTGTACTGTAGGTAACATTACTAAGACAACTTGGCTACTGGACATTTGACAGCTGATATAAAATTGTCTTAAAGGACAACACAAAAACATTTAAATACTGTCTTCCTTCTTCCATTCTCTCCCTCGTATGTGACATAATAGTGCCATCAACATTAAAACACTGAGACATCTTTTAGAGGAGCATATCAAAAAGTTAGATTACTGTGGAAAAGTTCATTGTGAGCACCAGAACCAGAGAGATTAAAGGCTTCAGGAAGCTTTGCGGGTGTTAATTAGCATAATTAGAGTGCTCTTCTCCAGCTGACTTTTTTGTATAATTTCCAATACAGAAATGTATTTAGGCTATTCTAAATTTTTTATTTTCTTTATTTTCTTACTTTCATACTTCACACTACATATTTTGAGGTACTGGAGTTTTGATTTTGCAAGAGCTGTAAACTTTAATCATCAAGATGAAAACAAAAAGGGCTTGAGATGCTTCACTTTGGGTTATGAATCTAGAATATATCAAAGATTCACTTTCTGAATTAAATTACGTTAGAAAAGTAACTTCTCCTGACTCATCTGTATCATTTACTTATTTTTCATCACCTGAAGCATTTATTACACATTTTCCTCCCAGAGTCACACTGTGGATCAGATGTCCCACCTGGTGCCAGAGAGCTGCAGAGACCTGGGAATCCTCCTCATTGTGCTCTTAGCGTGGACTGATGTGAAAAGGCGTTCTCTCCTTCTGTTTACTTTGAGTTTTAAATATTGTCCATATTTGTGTTATAACACCATTTAAAAAAAGATGTGGTTTATGGTTCACATTGTAATAAATTCTCTATATATTAGCACTCCCTGTCTTTACTACTTACTGAAAAGCTAATCGTATACCTCAGATAAAACATGAAACATTAAGGCTGAACTCTTCAGTCTAGTATAAGTTGAAAAGTGAAAATACTCCCAACATGTTTCACATGAAATGTTGAAAAGTAATTATGCAGTGTATTTCTGTGTGTGCAGGAGTATTTTTACTTTCTACCTTATACTTGAAATAAATAATAACAATAAATAAGGAGCCATACACCCAGTAACAGAGCCTGAAGTTTCTGAAGAGTGCCTTGTATGCTGCTCTGATATAAGTCTAGTTTAAGCAATATCAATATCAATCAACAACCAAGTTCGACCAAGGTGCTTCACAGGTTAAAATACAACAAGACACTACTTATACAGTAAAAGTACAGCAATAAAAAATAATACAGTATATATACAGTAATACATTACACGATATATAGTGAAATTAAAATTGCCAGGAATAATAACAGACTTAACTCGAAGGAAATGCCAAATAAAATAGATGTGTTTTTAACAGTGATTTAAAACCTTCGAGACTTGAGGCAGTTCTGATATCGAATGGCAGGTTGTCTGCAGGTTAGGGGCAACTACACTAAAGGCTCGATAGCCTCTGGTTTTAAGTCTGCTTCTGGGTACATCCAGGAGGAGGAGATTGGTGGATCTCAGCACTCTAGCTGGAGTATGAACATGAAGAAGCTCTGTTAAGTACAATAGAGCCAATCCATTAAGGCATTTAAAGTTAAAAGTAAGATTTTAAAATCAATCCTGTAATGAACAGGAAGCCAGTGGAGGGAGCGCAACACAGGTGTAATGTGGTCTCTCTTCTTCTTTCCTGTCAGGAGGCAGGCAGCAGCATTTTGGACTCACTGCAGGCGCTGAATGACTTGTCTAAGCCAACATAAGGAGTTGCAATAGTCAAGGCGGGAAGTTATAAAGGCATCACCCTCTCTAAATCTTTAGGAGGGAGATAGTTGGCTATAGTTCTCAACTGGAAACACAGAATAATAGATAGATACATATATCCTTTATTAATCCTTTGCAGGAAATTACAGTGTCACAGTAGCTTCAAGACAGACCCAATACCACTCAGAGCATATCCATAAGTTAAATTAAAATACCACAATCTAAAAAAATTAGAGTAAATTAGAGTAAATTAGAGTTATTTTTGTGCATTATAGAGTCGTATAGCAGCTGGTATGAATGACTTCCTGTACCGCTCTGTCTTGCACATAAGTGCTGTTTATCACCTTCAGGTGGTGGATTGGGTGTGCAGGGTTGATCAATATTGATCTTAGTTTATTCAATGTTCTGGCCTCTTGCTGAACCGTCTCTAGTTCAGCCCCAGCCACCGAGCCGGCCTTCTTGATGAGCTTGTCCACTCTGTTTCTGTCTGCTGTGCGGACACCGTCTCCCCAACAAGCCACAGCAAAAAACAGAGCACTGGCCACCACTATTTGATAGACACTGCGGTGAGAGGGTTGACAGATATCAAACGACCTTATCCTCCTTAAAAAATAAAGTCAGCTTTGCCCCTTGCGATACCCCGCCTCCATATGGCTCTTCCAGTCCAGCTGGATATAGAATAATAGGCAGGGCTGCTAATGGGGTAGGAGGTGGAGAAAAGGAACTACAAGCAGGTGGTTTCATAGGTGTATTTAAGAGAGGGGTAGGAGGAGATGGAGTGGAAACAATGGTAGTTAGCAGACCAGGTGGAGGAGGCTGGAGTGTTGTAGGGCCGTCAAATCTGTTGAAGAATCTGTTCAAATCATCAGCCTGACTCTGTTCGTCATCAGGCAGCGTATCACCCTTCTGATTTATGCCTGTGATCTTCCGCATCCCAGCCTACACCTGCCTCACTCCATCTTGCTGCAGCTGTTGTTCTAATTTCAGCTCTAGCATGACTACATTGTTTTAATAAATTTATGAGAATTAATACCAAATTATGAATTTTAATATTCAGAAAATATTAATTCATAAATCTCTCGCGGGGCACCACCCGATATTCCGTTCGCCCAGGGTCTTGGGATTCCCTGATTATGGCTAATAATTAGACAATTATTCACTAGTGATCAGTTAGTTAACTCAATTATCTTAAATTAGTCAGTCAATCTCATATCGAAGGGGTAAATTCTCGTGGCAGGGACTTGGAGACAGGCAATACACACACAATTCCTTGATTACAGTGAAGTTTATTAACTAACTAAGGTGATATAAAAATGCGGTTAAAATATACATCCAAGAAATAAACAATGGCTAAACAATGAGAATGTGGGTTTCTATTGTAGGGAGGATTTGACTCATACGGGCAGCTAATGAACGCAAGCTATGAGTTTTAAGTTATCTATTAACAACTACTGGACATCACTGAACACAGAATGCAGGGTTTTGGTCTTACTGCTTGTCGCTTCTCCCAGCCGGGTTGCGTTCTCGGTTAGGACAGCTTAAAGTCGTCGGCCAGTCGCTTTCTCTGCCAGGGAATTGCTTTTGTCAGCTTACTGAAGAAACTCGCAGTAGGGGCTTTCCCAACCCTGGCTCGGGTCAGAGGTTTGGTCGTCCTTTGTTACTGCTGGGGGGGCACTTGGTAGGGTCCGACCTCAGTGGGGTTAGCTCGACGAATAAAGCTTAAAAAGAAAAGAACTTGGTCGTTCTTCAATTAAACTAGTGTAACTTAATGGACTGATAACTTTTAACAAAACAAAACCAAAGAAAATAAAACGCAAGCAAAGTTGCTGAAACGAGGGAAAGCTGAGGTTGCGGCACTTCGCGTATGTGGCTTGAAAACGAACAAGCCTCCATTGCGCCGGGTCGAATCTTAGGGCGTTGCCGCGAGAGGGGGCACGCTGGGCGCGTGCCGAAGCACAGTTGGAGAGCCAGGAACCACCCAGGACAAGAGAGAGCGACAGAGGGCAGTCCTTTGTTCCCCTGAGGGTGGGCTTGTGTTTTTCTTTAACTTTTAATATGTCTAATCAAAAGAAAAATCTATTAGCACGTATTGTAATCAAATATCTTCCCACAGTCAAACCTTCATTATCAAAAGGTTGTACCATTCTTAGTTTTAAGCTTTTGATAAAAATAAAACAATTGTTAGTAGTTAGACCTTAAAAGTTTAGGAATCACAGATGAGAGGAACTTAACTAGCTTTCTGGATATATTGGCTGTTACACGTTCTTAGAGAATATAAGCAAGCTACACGAATGGCATCAGATTATGGAAAAGATAAATACATTAAAAGGCATTTCAGACGATGGCATGTAATACTTATTTTGTCCACTTGGGGGAGCTCGGGTTACATGAGGATAGCTCTGATTAATCCTAAAACAATCTTCTTAAGAGCTGGGGAACTTAGTCATTTTTAACCTTAAATTTGAGCTGGAAAATTAATCAACTATAGGATGACATTTCTTTATCATCATTTCTAAAGGAAGTGTCAGAAAGTATTGTGAACAAAGAATACAATGAATAAATGCAGGTGGCCTTGCTGAAAATTAAAACACTGCAAAATTTACTTATTTAGACTCTTTTC